AAAAAAAAAAAAAAAAAAAAAAAAAAAAGACAAGATGACCTCTTAAGTCTTACTTCCCAGACTTCTTGGCATATCAGAATCTCCCAGGAAGCTTGTACAATGTGCAAATTCTTACTCCATCCCTAAGAATCCTCATCAAATAGGATAGGTTGGGATCCAGAAATCTGCTTGTTTAATAGGCTGCCAGGATGATTAATTCAGTGGCTTTTAGGACCTCACTTTGAGAAACTATCCTTTAGAAACATTTATACACATATATACATACTTGATAAATTGAATATAATATTAACAAAAGCAGATGACCTCCTCAGGGAACTTAGGCCTATCACTATGCTACAAACTCTAGTTTGCTGAAATTCTGAAATTTGGTGTAATGACATAAATATTAGAATCTTCTCATTCTTTTTTGGAGGGTACCAGGGATTGAACTTGGGTCCTTGCTCTTGCAAGGCAGGCACTGGAACCACTGAGCCAAATCCCCAGCCCAAGATTCTTCTCATTCTTAAGAATAGTTTTTTGGTTGCCAGATGTGGGGGCCCACATCTGTAATCCCAGCTCTGTGGGAGGCTGAGCAGGAGGATCACAAGATCAAACTCAGTCTGGGCAATTTAAAGGAAAAATGATAGTTCTTTGTTAAACCAGTCAAATTCCTTTGTGATTTAACCAGATATTTTTCCCCCTCTAAACTCAATTCAACCATTTTTTTTTTTTTTTTTTTTTTGTGCTGGGGATCAAGCTCTGGTCCTTGCACTTGTGAAGCAGGCAGCAGAACCATTGAGCTAAAAAGCGCTCTCAACTTCTCAATTCAATCTTAACCCTTCTAAACTAATATACTTATCACCTCTAGACCTTTAGCTCCAACTAAAAGTTGGTACATTTGCATAACACATCTTAATTCCTTTTATTTCCCTTTCCATTCCCCTTCCTGTCCTCTTCCCAACTGTAAAAGATCTATCTCCCTGCTTCCAATTATCTTTTATTTTTGTGTTTAAATTATTTGTAATGTTTAAGCAGGCCTAATTTATTTCACTTAACGTTATTGCCTCAAGGTGCATCCATTTTCCTGTGACTCAGATATAGCAGAATAGTACTCCATGGTGTATGAATACCTTTTTTCTTTATCTCTTCATTTGTTGATAGACATATAGGCTGCTGCCAAGATTCAGCTATTATGAATTCTGTTGCTGTAAACATGTAAACCTGCACTTTTTTTTTGTACCAGTGATTGAACTCAGAACATTGAGCTTGTGAGGCAGGTGACAGCACCACTGAGCTAAATCCCCGGCCCTAAACCTGCACTTTTGAGGAATATGTTTTAAAGGTTCAGATGGTTTGAGGTCACTAAATGCCATGCTGCTTCTTGGTCTATACTGCTCGACATAAAGACTAAAGTGAGCGTTATATCCATAATCAGTAGTAGGGATAAAGGGCAGATTGTAGATTACTATGTAAAGATCTTCCAAACTTCATCTCCATCTCCACAGCATTAACTCTGTAGGCCTGGATACAACACAAAGCTTGAGCAGTGCAACATGCTGTGGACAGAAAACACCCCCAGTCTGCATCCCACCCTATTCCTGTGGATCTTTCCTCAGAGTCAAGGCACTGAAATCCCCTGGCTACCCTTGGAGAGCTGTCGTATTAAATCATTACCAGAGGCTAACCGACAGGGACCCTCTGGTTACTGGGAACAATTTCTCCAGATTTGTGTGTAGTTGGGCCATCGCCCCTGGAGAAAGGAACAGGTTCTTTACAAATATCAGCCCCCAGTATCTTCTCTCTTACCCCCTCCAAGAATTCTTCAAAAGTGGTGGTTTATATATTTGGATCAGCACAATTCAAAATACCTATATTTTAGAAGCAGCCTATGTGTCCATCAGTAGATGAGTGGATACAACAATGAGGTATTTATACATAGTGGAGTACTATTCTGC